CTGGGTCAAATGGTATCTCTATTTGCAACTTTTTGAGAAAGCGCCACATCGCTTTCCACAGTGGTTGCCCCATTTTACACTCCCACCAACAGTGAACAGAATTTAACAGAACAGCAAGCAACAAATGCTGGCGAGGTTGAACAATATATTTGAAATGTATCTACTTGTATTTTTGGCAGTCCATGGGATAGTCAAGTACTCTTCTCCAAAAGCACACCCCAGAGGCATTAATTCTTCCTCAGTCATCATATTCATTTCCCAGCTCTAAGAGCAAGTGACTGAAAAGCCTATGATCTGAATCAGACACACTTTAGTTCTCAAACTGACATCATTGTTACTCAATAATTTGTAGAGGTCCCTAACTACAGATTTTCCCAGTCTAATACGTCTCCCTATCTCCTAACCGCTGACACCAAGACTGTGGATTCTAGTAAGAGAAAGTATTTGTCAATCTCAATCCTTACTATGGTTTAGTGGCAAGGAATTCCACCCCCCCTTGATTGGGTTGATATGGATGGGCAAATAAGAAATTTATCTGAAGTGGGGATAGTAAGGCATGCAGTAGTTGTTTGACATGTGTTCACAAATGTAGTTATTATTAAAATAATTTTAAGAGCAAAGTTAATAAGTTAATTCTTCAAATGGAGAAGTTAATGGTTAGAAAAATTAGGGAGTGGTCTGTGGTGTCAAGAATTCATGGTTGAAAACAACTTTGCTAACCATTGAGTTTGAGTTTTCTGTATGTATGGATGGATGGAGGCATGCAGATGGGGTATGTTGGTCTACCCACAAGGTGACAAACTAGTTTTGCCATTACATTGAATAATTCAGCAGCAGAAATTAAGATTCTTACCATCTGCAAGGAAGAAGCAGAGAATGAAGCATAAGAGTTTTTTGGGGTCAGAGATTCCTGTGCCACTCAAAATGGTGCCTATAGGAACAGCAGCCATCACAGAGAACCAGAGACCTTACATGGAATAGAGTTGACCATGGGACTGCTACTCATGGAACTAGAACTAAAAGCCTTTGCCCTAGTTTGTGTGTGGACTGTAGAGGGATAGTTATTTACAAGATTAAGATCTTTGTAACACTAGTCTACAGCCAAGCAACTGAAGGCTGAGATGCCTGGAATGACATTTTGGAAACTGTTCTGACTGAGGAATTGTATACTGTTGCTAATCTGAATTATAGTCTGCTGACTTCCCTAATAAATACCATAATAGTGATAAAGGAAAAATAAAACCAAACACCCAAAGAACCCCACAAACAAAAGCTGAACATAGAAATTCCTTTTCACCCAACTCTTCCACTGTAAGTAATATGTTCCATGGAAGTGAGAATGAATGGAGATAAGTACACCAATGTTCACAGAAGCATTATTCACAAGAGCAAGAAAATTAAACTGCTCAAATGCTTCACCAACAAACAAATAGATTGAGAAATTGTGATACAGCTACACAATGGAAAACTGAACAGAATTAAGGAACAATGACTTCATAAAATAATATAAATCATAAGATTATCTGGGGAGCATTATGCTAAGGGAAATAACTTAGTCACATATGGAGAAATACAGTATAAGGCCACTGCTGTAAAAAATAGGAGGATAACTGAGCAAGATATGTCTAAATGCTCAAAAAGGGAAACGGAAGATGAGAAAGGGGGCAGAAAAAGACAAAGGGGAAAATCATGGGGATAACAGAGGTTATAGTGGCGGTTGAAGGAATAGGTTCAAAGAGGATAGGTTCAATAGGGACTTGAAAATAGGAGATGATAATAAGCATAGATAAGTGGTAATTAATTATATAAAATATAATGTATATGAATGATTGCACAAAACATAATGCATATGAATGAAATACTATATATATGATTGAAAGTACATGAACAAAACCTCCCCTCAAATGAAAAAAAGACATACTCTACACCACATATCCTGTATCATTACTATAACAACAACAAAACACATCCCTAAATTGGATTACAATCACAGATATAGATATTAGGAGTTACAGCACATATTTTGAAAGGAAACAATTTAATACACGTACTAGGAATTACAGCACATTTTTCCCTTTATGCATTTTTATTGTTTTTCATATAATTCCTTTAAATTATGTTTCATTCGTATATGTCATGTTTTATAAAATCTTTCCTTTACATTGTATTTTATGCAATCATTCACATGCATTCTACTTTACATTATTTTTTAATTGATTTGCTTAAGTTTATATACATTTTGTGTTGTTGTGGTTTTTTTTTCCGAGATACAATTGAATCTACATTGAGTTCTCCATCAGTGAGTAGAGGGGGTTTGCAAGAAAATATGGGCTTGCAAGAAAATATAGCCTATGGATAAGAGTCTTTTAAAGAGTAATTTTATCATTTAAAACTACTTCTGCTTCTTGCAGTGATCACTGGAGCAGGAGATGGGATTGGGAAAGCTTACTCATTTGAGGTAAGTTGAATTTTTAGTCTTTCCTTCCTTTTGTGCTGGATATATCATGTTTATTGTTGTTATGTTCCATTGAGTCACTGCTGGATTCTCAATTCTGTTCCACTTCTCTCTGTGTCTCATTGTACTAGCACCATGCTGTTTTGGTTACTACCGCCATGCTGTTTGGTTACTGTTTTGTAGTAGGCTTTGAGGCCTTTTGAGGAGTGCAATGCCTCCCCTTCATTTTTATTTTTCAGAAGTGATTTGCTCATTGGTGATCTCTTTACTTTTCCAAGAAACTTGACAATTTCCCTTTCAATCTCTTTGAAAAAGAAATTTGGTATTTGTGTTGGGATTGTGTTGAACATGTAGGTTGCTTTTGGTAGGATTTTTATTTTCACAATATTGAGGCTTCCTATCCATGAACAAAGAACATTATTTTTTTCCATTTAAATCTTTTATTGTGTCTCTCAAAAATGTTCTGTAGTTTTATTTTCTAAAGATTAAATGTCTATGCTTATTAAAAAAATGTTTCAGCAGTGTAAAAAGAAAACCTACTGACTGGGAACAAACATTTGGCAATACCATTTCTGACAAGGGTCTCATCACAAAAGTTTACAGAATCCTACAGGGCCTCCACAAGCAAAAGACTGATAACCCTATTACACAATGGGCAAAAGACATGGGAAGAGTTTCTACAGAAAAGGACATTGGGAAGGCCAACAGAAACACGAGGAAATGCTCCAAATCACTGGCAATTAGAGAGATGTAAATCAAAACCACGATGAGATACCATCTTACCCCAGTAGAAGTGGCAAACTTTAGCAGGGCAACAAGTAGTAAATGTTGGAGAGGATGTGGAGATGTAGGAATTCTTAGATACTGTTGGTAGGATTGTAAAATGGTACAACCACCCTGGAAGGCAGTTTGAAGCTTCTTCAAAAAGCTGAACATAGAAATTCCATATAACTCAGTTATTCCACTGTTTGGAATATACCCTGAGAAAATGAGAACTGAAGCACAGAGACTTGTAAACCAACGGCCATAGCAGCATTATTCACCATAGCAAGAACATGGAAACAGCTCAAATGGCCAACCACTATGGAATAAATGAAGAAATTGTGGTACATTCACACAATGGAATCCTATGTAGCATGCAGGAGCAATGATTTTGTAAATTACTACCTAACATAGAAGGGACTAGAAAACACTATGCTAAGTGAACTAACTCAGTCTCATAAGGAGAAATACTGTCTAAGACCATTAGTGTAGAGTCAGTATAAGAATCTAAGGAGGGGTGGGGGACTAAGTCATAGGGTCACACAATTTAACGGATGAAGGGAGGGATTGGAAAACAAAAGGGGAAAGATCCGGTGTGAAAAACAACATATACAAATTTTATGAACTTTGTATGTAAACCAGAGTGCTGTTGTTGTTGATTGTCTTCAAGTTGAGCACAACTCATAGCGACCCTCTGAACAAAAGGCCTAAAGCCCCTCGACAACTATCGATATTTATCAAAGTTGATAGAGTTTCCAGAGGCATGTTTTTTGTTGTGGCTGTTATGTGCCGTTGAGTCGCTTGCAACTCATAGCGACCCTATGTACAACAGCCCTAAACTCTGCTCTGTCCTGTGCCAATCACACTGTCTCTGACACACCCATCCTGATTATCCCAGTCACTGAATCAATCCACCTCATAGAGGGCCTTCCCCTCCTGTGCCGTCACTCCACCCTCCCAAGCATGATGTCCTTCTCCAAGGACCGGTCTCTCCTCACAACATGTCCAAAGTATGTTAGACGGAGCCTCAGAATCCTTGCCTCCAAGGAGCCACCCGGTTTAACCCTTTCCAGGACGAATCTGTTTGTTTTCCTAGCAGTCTATGGTATTCTCAATACCCTTCTCCAGCACCACAGCTCAAAGGCATCAATTCTCCTTTTATCCTCCTTGGTCATTGTCCAACTCTCTGATGCATAATAAGTGATTGTGAAGACCATGACCTGTATCAAACACACCTTAGTCTCCAGAGAGACACCATTGCTCTTCAGTACTTTGGAGAGGTCCCTAACAGCAGACTTTCCCATGGCAATGAGCCTTTTAATTTCCTGGCTACTGGTGCCAAGACTGTTGACTATGGAGCCGAACAAAGTAAAGCTGTGTACAATCTCAATCTCTTCACCATCCATCCTGATGCTGCCAATTGGTCCAGTGGTGAGAATCTTTGTCTTCTTGACATTGAGCCTCAATCGATATTGGAGGCTGCAGTCCTTGACCCTCTGCAGCAGGTGCTTCAGGTCCTCTTCAGTTTCAGCAAGCAGGGTTGTGTCATCTGCATAACTCTGTTGATAAATCGTCCACCAATCTTCCCCCCACATTTCTCCTGATAGAGCTCAGCCTCCTGGATAATCTGTTCTGCATATAGGTTGAAAAGGCATGTTTTTTAGGAAGCTAAAATAAAGTATTAAGTTTGATTATTTCTTCCTTTTGTATGTGTATTTGTCTATTGTTATGAAGTCCCCTGAGAACTGCCTTAGCTGTATCCTAGAGGTTTTGATATGTTAGTATTTTCATTTTCATTTGTTGTGAGGAACTTTTAATTTTACCTTTTATTCCTTCTATAACTCAAACAAGTTGTGTTGTTGTTGTTGCTTTTAGGTACTGTTGAGTTGAACATGATCCATAGTGATTCTATGAGCAATAGATCTGAACCCTATTCTATCCTATACCATTCTCACACTTGCCGACCCATTAGAGACCACTGCAGCAGTAGCTGTTCAGTCCACCTGGTTGAGAGCCTGCCTTCTCTTTCGCCAACTACCGACTCTCTGCCTTTCGAAGCATGATGTCCCTCTCTGGCGAATAGCTCCTCCTAGCAATATACATTAGCTTTATAATCTTTGTGTTCAAGGACTACTCTGGCTGCACTTTCTTCAAGATATATTTGTTCTTTTGGATGTTCAGTACTCTTCTCCAACAGCACAGCTCAAAGGCATCAATTCTTCTTCTGTCATACTTATTCATCACTGTCCAGCTCTCAGATGCATAGCAAATAATTGGAAAAACCATGGCCTAAGTCAGACACACATTAGTCCTCTAACTGACACCATTGCTTCTTAATAATTTGGAAAAATCTGACTGCAGACTTTCACAGTGCAATACCCTTCCTGATTTGAACCATGCTTTGGTTCTTAAATTTGGTTGGGCAGCACTCAGTCTGGTTTTAATTGTTTTGGGCAAACATTCTTCTAAATGGTATAGCACTGGTCTGTCCACTTGCTGTACAGCAGTTACTGTCATGCTGAACTCTGTGACACTGATGTGTCAAATGTGATAATGGTTAACCATGGTGAACAGTGTTTGGTGGAGGTCCCTGATTAAAACAAGCTTAGAAGCAGGAGTGGTATCCACTTCCAAAATAGCGTGCCTCCAGAAACCCTATGAACTTGGAGAAACGATGACCATTATACAAGTGTTCAGGTCTTTTGTTCATAGGGCCACTATGAGTCATCTACTATTCAATGGTACTAACAACACAACAATACCAAAGGTGTTGATTGTGGATCCAAGTTAGATGAAGCTGTTGACAGTTTCAATTTTTTCTTCATCTAGCATGATCAAGCTAGTGGTAAGAATTTTTGTTTTCTTGATGTTGAAATGCAATCCATATTGGAGGCTTTATTCTTTGATCTTCTAAAATAAGTCTTCATGTCTACCTCACTTTCGGAAAGCAAAGCTGTTTCATCTACATAATGGAGGTTATTTATGAGTTTTCTTCAGATCTTGATGCCTCAGTTTTCTTCATAGAGTCCAGTTTCTCTAATAATTTGCTCAAAGATATTAAGTAGATACGGAGAGAGAATACAATTCTGGCACACTCCCTTCTTAATTTTGTTTCCACTGCTCCGTTTGCACAACAATCTCTTGGCCTAGGTATAAGTTTTGCCCGAACATGATTAAGTCCTCTGAGATTCCCATTCTCCTCTTGTTATGATCGATCCATCTTTCCAGTCAAATAACTTTGCATAGTCAATAAAGCACAAATAGACATTCTTCTGATATTCTTCACTTTTAGCTGGAATCCATCCGACATCAGTAATGACATCCCTGGTACAACAGCCTCTTCTAAATTCACTTGCACTTCTGGAAGTTCCCTATATATGTACAGTCATAACCATTTTGTGTTTGCTTTGTAAAAAAAATAAACATACAAACATTTTAATGTAGATCCACTCTCCCCCAATCACTATACAAAATTGCTTTAGATAAATGTGAAATTAGAAATGCAGAGCTTGATGTGTATTTCTTTTTTGTTAACTTAAGTCCAAAAACAATGGATGAAAATCTTCTTTTCCTTGGAACCCAATATTCACACCAAGGAATTAGTCATTCTCATGTAAGTTAAGGATTCTGTTTTCTAAAAAATGATCTTAAAAGTCCAAATATCTTAAGTATTTTTGATCAGTGCAATGAAATACATTTGCTGATAACTTTTATTATGTCTTCCCTCCTGTAAGAAATCTTATTAATTTCTTATTTATTTATGTTGTGGTTTTTAATTTAATTTGTTTCCGGTTTACTTATAAAGTTAATCAAGTTCATATAGATTGCTTTTAACACCGGATTTTTCCCTTTTCCTTTACCCACACCTCCCTCCACCCATCAAATTGTGTGACCCTGTGATTAAGCACCCTTGTATTGGAGGGTTCAACAGTCATGGTCTTATACAGTATTTACGAGACTGAGTTCACTTAGCATAATGCTCTCCAGTCTTCCCATGTTAGGTGGTAATTTACAAAATCATTGCTCCTGTGTTCTGTGTAGAATTCCATTGTATGAATGTACCATATTTTCTCAATCCATTCCATTGTGGTTGGACATTTGAGCTGTTTCCATGTTCTTGCTATGGTGAATAATGCTTCTATGAACATTGGTGAACAAGCCTCTATATCTGACTCAGTTCTCAGAGTATAATCCAAGCACCAGAAAGCTGAGTGGTTGTTAATCAGACACAGAAAGAAAAC